TGAAACAAGAATTAATTGGCAGAATGCCTTGAAGTGCTTTTAATTCACTGGGGCTGCCTGCTCTTCCTTGTGGTCCACTGCTTGCTTGTTTATTCAGTCTGGTTGGAGACCCCAATCATGAGGCCTTCTCAGCCACTTCCTGTTATGGCTAACCTCAGCCTAATGATCCCGGGATTTCTCAGCTCTCCCACCCTTTGCCCCCTTCACCTAGCTACTTTCTCTTCCTGAACTTTCAGGCGACAGCTTAGGCACCCTAAGTCTGGGACCTCTTTCATAAGCCTTCACTGCAGCCTTCATTGCAGCCTGGGCTCCCCTATGCACCCTATACTTCCTGATATTTTGAGGAACAGTTTCTTCATCCCCCTGGGCCCCACACTAGGCTGTAAATGAGCAGTGAAACAGTCTTGTTCTCATGTGTGATCCCAATGACTAGCAAGTCCCTGGCACCTACTAGGCACTGCAAACTATCAATGAATATCATACTTGACCGCAAATCTTTTTCTTTCATTCATTTATTCATCCATTCATGCATGAAATATTTACTGAGCATGTACTGTGCTTCATGAACTGTTTTAGGTACTGGATACACAGCAGTTAAAAAGAAATTCAATCAAATATGTGGTGATGGAAGGAGAACTAACTCTGGGTGGTGAACACACAACATGATATATAGATGATGTATTACAGAATTGTACACAGGAAACCTACGTAACTTTACTTACTATTGTCACCTCAATAAATTTTAATTAAAAAAAGAAAGAAAGAAATTCAGTGCTTGTAGAGCAGCAGTTCTTAACCTGTAGATCACGACCCCTTTGGGGGTCGAACGAATCTTTCACAGGGGTCGCCTAAGACCATCAGAAAACAAAAAGATATTTACATTACGATTCATAGCCATAGTAAAATTACAGTTATAGAGTAGCAACAAAAATAATTTTATGGTTGGGGGTCACCACAACATGAGGAACTGTATTAAGGGGTCACAGCATTAGAAAGGTTGAGAACCGCTGTTGTAGAGCATATGTTGTAATGGCAGGCAGACATACACGGTCTGACAATTATATTTGTAAACTTGTTGCAACAATGTTGCTAATATTTTTTTATATCAGAGAGATTATTTATTATGAATTTGTACCAACTGGACAAACAGTTAACCAAGTTTACTATTGGGAATTGCTGAAAAGGCTGCGTGACAAAGTTAGATGACCTGAACTGTTTGCCAACAATTCATGGCTCTTGCATCACAGCCATGCCCCAGCTCACACAGCACTGTCTTTGAGGGAGTTTTTAGCCAGTACACAAATAACTACTGGAATAACCTCTGTACTCACCTGATCTGGCCCCCAGTGACTTCTTTATTTACCCGAAGATAAAGGAAATATTGAAAGGAAGACATTTTGATGACATTCAGGACATCAAGGGTAATGTGACAATAGCTCTGATGGCCATTCCAGAAAAAAGTTCCAAAATTGCTTTGAAGGGTAGACTAGGCACTGGTGTTGGTGCATAGCTTCCCAAGGGGAGTATTTCAAAGGTGACCAGAGTGATATTCAGCAATGAATATGTAGCACTTTTTCTAGGATGAGTTTGTGAACTTAATTGTCTGACATCATATAACAGACAAGATAAATAAGTACAATATATATGAGGCAATGATGAAATCTAAGAAACAAATAAGCGGAAAATGGGATAAAAACTGGGGAGAGGTTTGCACATTAGGATGAGGGCCAAGGGAGGTTTCACCGACAAGGTGGCATTTGAGTAGGATCTGAAGAAGGTGAGGTAGCCGCATGACATCCGGAGCAACAGGGTTTCAGCAGAGGGAAGAAAAGAGTAAGTGCTGAGCATCTGGTGTGCTGTAGGAAGAGCGGAGGCCAGGTAAGAAGTGCCTGGTGCAGAGCAGCAAGGAGGAAGGAAGTAGGGGAGAGGCTAGAGGGGTAACTGCATGCGTTGGGGGCCGGAGGGTAGACGGGCACTCAGTACAGGAGAGGGACATTTCCCCGCGTTGCTTTCTCAGGCTCACTCTGGCTTCTTGTTGAGAATAAACTGTAGTGAATGGAGGGCAGGTCAGGGAAATTATTTAGGAGGCTATGGCGCCACAATCCAGACAAGAGATAATGGTGCCTTGAACCAGCTTGGCATCAACATCTGTTGGTTGAAATCGAAATATATTTTTTTATATTGCAGTGACTATTTTTTTCAATTATAGTTGACAATATTATTTTATATTAGTTTCTGGTGTACAATGTAGTCGTTAGAAATTGATATAATTGATATAATTCATAAAGTGTTACCCCTGCTATTTTGAGAGTGAAACTGACAGAATTTGTTTATGGGGTAAAGAGACAGAGAGGTCAAAGGTAACCCAAGGATTTTGGCCTGAGCAACTAGAAGGATGGAAACGTCATTAACTGAGTTGAGGAAAACTATGAAAGGAGGATTCATCTGGGGTAGGTTAAATTTGAGATGCTCATTACATACCCAAGGGAAAATGTTGAGGGGATAAACATGGTGCCAAGCTTTACAAATATTAACTCCTGCAATCCCCATAACAACACCATGAGGTCGGGAGTATTCTTGGCCCTATTTTATAGGGGACATTGAGACCCAGAGAGAATGAGTGACTTACTCAAGGTCATATAGCTAGTAGGTAGAACTGGGGAACTGGGATTCACAGCCAAGCAGTGGGATCTGGAATACCTGCTCTTCAAACCGCGCTGCCTCTGGCTGAGCAAACACACTCACACCCACCGAATTTCTGTCAATTACGGAGCCTTGCCATTAGCTCTGAGCCAATCACTGTGGCCTGGAGCTGGCCTGCTCTGATTAGATTAGGCCTCAGTCTCCTGCTGCCTAAACCAGGGTCTGGAGCCCCACATGGGTAGAGAGTGGAGAGGGGGAAGTTTTCCAGAGAAAAATCAGGAAATTGTCACCAAATAAGGATGCTGCATTTCAAAAACAACAGAAAAGCACACAAATGGACATCAAATCTATCCTGCTCATAGCAAGTTGGGCAAAGTTTATATATTGGTTATTTCATTATCAATTTCAAACCACCCAGAACACCCCCAAAATTCATGCCAAAATTTTTTAAACAACTTTTCTTATAAGATATTTACTTGATTCCCTGGGAGACTTATGCTTCCCATTTTTATATTCCTACACAAAGAGGCTAAAGGTCAAATATCTCAGCTGAGGGGAAGAACACATACTTGAGTATCGACCAGACCACTGTGCAATGTGTTCCCAAACCTAGCATTCGTCACAGCAGGGTAAACACAAAACAAAAAACTCAAACAAAAGCCACAAGTAGAATTCACTGAGAGCAGGATTACTAAATATCATTCACTGATTTTATTTTGCTTTTTAAAAAAACAAAAATTAAGTTGTTAGAGCAGTTTCAGGCTCACAGCATAAACGGAACAGAAATTTGAGTTCTCACACCTCTTTCCTACACACAGGCGCCGCCTCCCTCACTATCAGCTTCTCCACCAGAGTGGTGGTGCATGTGCCACAATCAATGAGCCTGCATTGATCAATCATGCTTCTCCACCAAAGTGGTGGTGCATGTGCCACAATCAATGAGCCTGCATTGACCAATCATCAACTGAAGTCCACACTTTCCCTTAGGGTTCACCCTTGGCCTTGTACATTGTACGGGCTTTCACAAATTGTGGAATGACATATTCCACCATCATAGTTTCATACACCATAGATTCACTGCGCTAAACATCCTCTGTACTCCCTCTATTCCTCACTCCTTTCCCCCTGACTTCTGGCAGCCACTGATCTTTCAACTCCTTACCCAGTTTTGGTTTTCCAGAATGTCATATAATTAAAATCATATAGTAGGTAGCCTTGTCAGAGTGGTTTCTTTCACTTAGTAATATGCATTTAAGTTTTTCTATGTATTTTCATGGCTTGATAGCTCATTTAAGCACTGAATAATATTTTACTGTTTAAATGTACCACCGTTTATTTATCCATTGCTTGCTAAAGGAAATTTTGGTTATTTTATTTTGTTTCTAAAACTAAATATTTTTCAACCCAATAAATTTTAGAATTCTGCTTACCTTGCAAATTAATTAGTAGTCAAAGCAAAGTTCAAATTTATATTTTAGAATGGTATCCCTTCTTGCAAAGTGACAGCTCTACAAATAACTTTTCAAATTACAATAACAATATTGGGCTCGTATGTAATTTTGAAAATTAAGAAGAGTACAAAGAAGAAAATAAAATTACTCATAACTTCATCACTCAGAAAAAACTATAATTAATAGTAGTACTTATATGTATATGTAATTATCCCAGAATTTATATCCTAAGATTTTAACTTTGCATTATATGATACATATTTTAGAGTCTTTAATATCCTTCATGAATAACATTTGTAATAATACATAATCCTCCTAGTATTGTCACTCCACAGTTATTTGATCATTATTCTGATTTCAAATATTGCCTCCCTTATGATTTTCTTACAATAAATTTCTAGAATTGAATGAAAATGTTATTATTGATATTAGAAGAAAAAGGACAAAAATCAAAAGAAACTGGAAATTAAAACATATTCTAAAGCTGGCTGCAGACGCCATTACCGTCCGTTTCTCTGCAGCAGCAACCTCAACTATGTTGCCTACATCCCGCTTATTTGTGGCCTAGATTGGTGTGTCCATTTAATCCAAGAGAATTGAAACTGAGCAGCCAGAGGAAACCTCCCGCAACACCAAAACCAATGATGACTTTGGTAAACGTCCTGCAGAAGGTATGGAAGAGGAACAAGCTTTTAAAACATCTGGAAACACTGATGAGATGGTGACTTATGCATTCTGCTTCGGAGCAAGACTGCTGGGCAGTGACTGGAAAAGGAGGCAAGGATATTATGGCTTTGCATACAGACTACAATGCCAGTGTTTCAGTCTCAGTGGCCTCGAGCGCCTATTGAGTATCAGTGCTGCTATTACAACAATTGGAGAGATTCTGAAGAAAATCATCCCTACCTTGGAAGAGGGCCTGCTTTTGCCATCACCCACTGCAACCAGCCAGCTTCTGCTCAAGTGTAACACTGTGGAAGGCTTACATTACCAACGCTGTAAAGGAAGTGTCGACACTGACTGCCAGCTGAGACTGCTGATTCATCAGAGTCTAGCAGGAGAAATTATTGAGGTCAAAGGTACTATAATCAAAGAATTTCAAGGGAACATGCAGACAACAATCAAGCTTTTCCTCTTTCCACTGATAGAGTGTTTCTTATTGGAGGAAAACCTGATAGGGTGGTAGAGTACATACATGAAAGTCATCCTTGATCTTATTATCAGAGTCTCTCATCAAAGTAGGTGCACAGCGTACAATCCCAATTTGGTGGACCTATTATTGCTACACAAGAAACTATTCCCAAAGATTTGGTTGGATCTATTTGGCAAATGTGGTCAGTGGATTAA